GCATCCGCGGCGAAATCAACAACACGGATCCTGCTTCTTTCCGCCCATCATCCCTTCTCTCCTAGTGGCCACTCGCGCGTTCTCATCTAACCACCCCTTCTCCCGTGTCCTTCGGCCACCATTCTCACACAACAGCCTCCTACCTCTCCTTCCTCTCGCCTTCCCCCATCCACCGCCCCTCCCTCCCCTTATACGCCCTTCCCTCACCCCTTCCCCGCTCCCCCTGCCTTTCAGCGCTTCCCTACTGCACGATCTGTCAGCCAATTGGCAGGTCGTACAGCTGCCGAGGCGAATCGAGCCGATCTTTAGTGGTTGCCGAATCTTTAGGCAACATACTGCGGCTGTCTTGGGTCCAGAACTTCACACATTCAGCTCTTGCATCTTTGCTGTGCGTTTTGTGCTGTGTAACAGCAGTACAAAATGCATATTGTCACGGGGGTGTCTGTATGTGTGTTTGTGTTTGTTTGTGTGTGTGTGTGTGTGTGTGTGTGTGTGTGTGTGTGTGTGCGTGCGTGTGTGTGTGTCTCCCACATTTTGTCCCGCACTTTCAACTTGGGAACCACAAAAGCTAGGCGGCTGAAATGCTAGTATAGTGTTTTCCGCCAGCGGGAGATGCGGCAAATTTAAATTCAGCCTTCCCGTACCCGCGGCCCCCGTAAAAGTTTTTCGGGTAAATCACTATCTCGGGAACCACGGAAGGTAGAAGCCTGAAATTCTGTGAGCATGTCCCTCGCCCATGTGCTAACGTGAAAATTTAAAATTCAGCTTTCCACTGCCCGCGGGTAACAACTACGGCTCCGTGAAAGTTTTTGGCGGGTAAATTATTATCTCGAGAACCACGGAATCTAGGAAGCTGAAATTTAAGGTAGTGACCCCCTGCCCACGTTCAACCTTGCCTATTCAGATTCAGCGTCCCCGCGCTCTCGGGCACCACCTACGGGCTAGTGAAAGTTTTTGGAGGTGAATTATTAGCTCGGGAACTACGGGAAGATATTCGCCCTACAAGGTTTCGAATTCAGCTTTCATGCACAGGTGCGTGAAATTTCTAACTATTTTTCAATGTTTCAACTATTTTTGCATAGACTGAAGTAAAAAGCAGTGAGAATCATTAATAGGCAATCGTTCGATGGGCTGAATTGCACAAAAAGCATGATCACACCGGCTAGTCTAGTGCGCGTTGCTATTTATTTGCTTGTGCACACATTAGGCTTCTAATGCTTTCATTGGCTTTTTAACGCGGTAACAGCACACAGCATTGCGTCTTATGCCTTTTCCCGTTTAATGAGAATACAAATTGGGATTTTAGAAGCCCTGTTATGCGTAGCCGTAGGCAAAGCCAGAGAGGTGAAATCGCTTACCAAGCTGTCCATGATACGTCACTGAATACGTATTGATATATCACTTTGTGGGCAAGTAAAAGTATTTCGCATATGTTCACGTGCAGTTTATAGTGGATTTATGTGCATCCCAGAATAGCGCACCAGAAAAAATATGGTGGTTACGGCCTCTGGTTAACAGCAATATTATTTTTTCTTCCGGCACAGTCGATTTTGGTGCATCCTGGGTATAGTAAGTTTCTCTTTAGCTGCCTGTCACTCGTTCCCTTTCCACTCACGCTTCACGTTATTGCAAAGCTTGCAGCGTTTCTTTTCCCACTACAGGTTTTCAATTTCTATTAATACTGTGTATCAATCTACTCGTACAGCTTTTCTGTTGCTGCTATGTGGGCTGAGCTTTCGCTTTTTTATATACGGGCACTTCTGACTTTTTAAATGCAACTGTAAAATTTTGTGGATCATTCTGGCCACGCACAACCGTATAAGCCAGCGTGGAACCCGACAAATGATTTATGAGATTGAAATATATTTTTTCCCCAGTATTCTTCTTTACTCATCCGTTAATTCGTAATCTTAATGTAGAAAATCATAAGCTGAACTTTTCAGAATGCGTATGCCAGTCCGTTATCCATAAAACAAGTCTTCCAAATGTCGGAGAAGCAATATGTTTGGGTGGCTGTGTCAGCTTTAAGCCGACGCAAAAGGTTTATTTAGTTACTGTGCAAAATTCTGGGGCCAAAACAGATTTCAGTAAAGATGAAGAAATTCAAAATTCATTTCATCTGTTGCGATGGGACGTGAGGTCAAGTTATTCTCTGTTTGCTAGTTATGCGTTTTCAGAAAACGCATATTGACGAGGGGTTGTCTGTATGTATCTGTGTGTCTATGTGTGTGTCTATGTGTTTTGTGTCTGTACGGATTTTTCATCTCGAGACCTACAAAAGCTACGGGGCTGAAATCGTGGGAACTTAATCTACATGCATGTACGAGCCCTCATCCCTAAAATTGGTACCACGCCCTTACCCGCTTGGTACCCACGCGCGAGCCCGCCAAAGTTTTTTACGGGAGATTGCCATCTTGGGAATCTGAGAAGCTAGAAAGCTGAAATCTTAAGGGGATGTTCCCCATCCAAGTAAGTATTAAGGAGCTCAAACTCAGTCCCCGGGTAAGCGCGGTACCCACGTACGGGCCCGTCAAATTTTTTTTCGGATAAGTCGCTAACTCGGGAATCTGAAACGCTAGAAGACTGGAGTTTTGAGGCGATGTTTCCTAACAGTTCTGACGACCAGACTGAAATTCTTTTAGCTAGAAGCATCTGCTGGAAAAATCAGTGCCATTAACGACAATAGTCTGCGGGTAGCTATGCAAAAAACGATCTTCGCACGGGCAGCCCGTGCGTTGGCCAATTATTTTATTTTGAAAAATTTATCTTTTATCTTATTTCTTCTGCTTCTATTTTTGCTTTTTTTTTTGATTATTTCAGTGATTTTTTGGAATTCGCACTTTTCCAATTCGAGTAGCCTTTTGTGCTTCCTGCTAGAATGAGGAAATGTATCGGAAACATTGAGTTTTTTGCCCCGATAACTGTGCAGTTGCAGTAAAGAGCCATTATTTGTAACACAGTTTTCCAAGCATCTTACTTTGTTTGCTAATTTTAAAAGAGTTTGCGATAAAGAAGTTACGGAGCTTGTAAAAATTTAAATTCTTGTTTTTTTTTTCTTTAAGCGAGACAATTTTGCAGTTAACCCAGCAAGTCCCAATTTGAGAATCAGTTAAAATAAAGTTAAAATTCCTGAATTTTTGCTGGATTCCACGGTAAATTTTTTCCCAGCATTTTTTCAGCGAATAGAATTTAAGTCGGTTAACTATCAGCTCATCAAACTCTTATAGATGGGCCGATATCGAGCGAGTTTTGACGAGCAAAAAGCTGTTAGGCGGTGTGAAATACGCCTGCCCGTTTGCGTGGCGACACTTGTTTAATCTTATTTCTATGAATGAGGAGCCTCCGAAGGATGTAACTTTTCATTTCCTTTTTTTATTCATTTTTGTGCAATACGCATGAAGAAACACATCTTATTTGCATTTCCCCATAGAGCTTTCGAATAAGCATAGTCGCACCCCTCCCCTCCTCGCCCTTTCCCCCCTCTTTCTCCCAAATCAGGCGCTTTTTTATGAAAACAATAATACTTAAATCGTTAAAATTTCCTTTTTTAATTCACATTTTTTTTTTTTTTTTGAAAACTTAAAGAGATCGAAAATCGCCAGTGCGAAAGTACTACTGATGATCATCGCTTTTTTGATTAAATTTCGTATTTATGTGTTTTGTGCTGGTTAACAGCTGCCCAAAACGCACATTGCCATCCCACTCCTCCTCCCCTACTCGTTCCGCTCCTCCCTGTTTGTATGTGTTTCTGCGTTCGAGTGCGTTTTTTTTCCTGCGTTCTCCACTTCATAAAAGCTAGGAAGCTAAAATTTTTGAATGGTTTCCCGTGTCCACGTGCAACTCGGCAAATTTAAATTCCACTTCCAAGCACTCTAAGATCTCTTGTGCGAACAAGTAGTTTTAGCTACTAACTCGGGAATCACAAAAGCTTAGAGCTAAAATTTTAAAGTAATATTTCAAACCAAGGGCAATCCCAAAAATTTAAATTTAACTTCCACTTACGCCTAAGTCTTAGTTTTGCGCCAGATTTTTTGCCGTGGGACCCGGCAAGATGGAAAGCTGAAAATTTGCCATGGTGCTTCCTTTAATTGTACAAACCCGGGATTTCTAATTTAGCTTTCGTGTGCGATTTTATATGTGAAATTTTGCACGGGTTTTTTTAGTTGCTGTCTTACACAGTCTGCCGCGTCTGACGGTATAATTACGGCATTGAAGAGTGGGATTCACAGTTTATTCCAAATGCTTGTTTCTGACTGCTAGACAAAACAGAAAGCTGAAATTGTTGGAGGTATTTTCTGTTTGTGTGAGAATTTGCAAATTCAAATCTACGCCCGTGTCTCACGCATGGGCACATGGAGTTCCGTGTTTCTGCGCGTACCAAACTGTAGGGCAGTGAATATTCCCAACAGAAACTGTCTTGTCAGGCAGAACTGCGCAAAACTCATGATCGCACCTGCTATCTTGATGCGTTCCGCTGCTCATCTTTTATTAAATCCTGAACTTTTAAATCTATTTTTTTTTTACAATTTTTCTTGCATGAGCACTTTAGGCGCTTCTTCCACGCCTCCAAAGAAAAGTAACTTGAGAGTCCACTGTAAGGGCGTGATTAAATGCTTCTGTTGTTTCGTTAAAAATTCTTCACAGAAAATAAGATAAATGGCAACGCGCACCAGACTAGCCGGTGTAATCATGCGTTTTGTGCAATTCAGCCCATCGA